TTACCTTTGGGCCAATGCCACAGAGTACTTTTTGCAAAAACCAGTTGCTACAGAGACAGTTTCCTTTCTCCTGGCAGTCAGTTTGATGAACAGTTAAAGGGGTGCATAGATCAATACCATACATACTTACACTATTTCAACCTTGTCCTTTTTTGTAAAAACATTTTATGTATGTATTTATAAATTTGCAAAAACGAAAACTGTCATTCTTACATTAGTACTATATATAAAATATTTTATTCTGACTAAGGCATACAGTTCTCATTGTAACATTAAATACATGTCATTCTGTTTAGCCACCACTACTCAGGTCATTCCTCTCATTGACCAGCACTTTTCTCTGGGGGCCCGACATTGGTTAGTTTGTGAAAGTTGTTATTCAGACCCCTGTTCCTTCTTGTTATTCAGAAGAAGACCTCTCACAACCCACCAATGTTATTTCAGAAATCTTTATTATTTTAAACAAAATTACTCAGGTGTCGCAACACAAAACCCAAATTGCATATTTTCTGAAAAACACAGTCACTTCAAAAACTGACAAAAAAAAGAAAAGAAATAATTAAAAAAAAAATCAACCAAATAGAACAAAATAAGTTGCACTCACATTCTGGAACAAACCTATTACAATAGGTATATTAGTGTTACTAACATTTTGATTCTTTGTATTTCATTTGATGAACAGAAATATTCATGTCAGTTGTTTTTTTATACTCATCTCCTAAATGATGATTTTCGCTGAACACTGAAAAAAGTGAAACAAGAGCATTTCTGGACATTCTAGCAACTTAGAGAAAAAAGTCCAACTATAGCCCATTCACCCCTGCTAGAACAAAAGCATAAGTGGTAAGTGGTTAAATAATATAACTAATAAATAAGTAATGTTTTCTCTAATTAATTACTGTATAACTTTGCAGTTACACCATCACAAAAGCATGGACTGAACAGTAGAAAAAATATACATATTTTTAGTAGCTGCCATGTTTTAATCATCCACTGGAACCTGATTGGCTGGATGGCACTCTAACACATGCACAAATCAGTCAGGCAGCACTAATCTAAACTGCAGCAGCTCTGCATGACAACCGTGCAAACTACTGAAAACAAGAAAGCATTCACTGTCCCTCACCTGCTGAGATTAGGGTTAGAGGTAGGGTAAGCTGAGGTCACTTATATAAAATAACATGGACATGCAGCGAGCAGCTCCCAATCGACTTACATGTGACCGTATTGGGACTTGCAACATAAACATATAGATTGAATTCCAAGTATTTTAACTTACAAGAAACACTATCTTTAGTGTTTTTTGTGAATGATTGACTTGCATAGGAAAATTGCTTTCCAACAACATTCGTTCTTCATATGCACAGTTCACATGAAAACATGTTCATCTCTGCTACACAGACTCCTCTTTCTGAACTGAACATTCCTATCATCTTTATATAATTTTAATTATTTAGGCAAATGCACATGCAACTTGAGATTTCTTGAAACTTTACAAAAGGCTGCACCAAAATTGTGTAGGTTTGCAGTTGCCCTTTTAGTAGTTTGGAAGATTTCTTCCAAGCTATTACTTTATGAATCTCACTTTATTCTGTACTTAACTTTAGATGATGTGAAATAGAGAACTGTGAGTTTATCATTAGAACTTTTCCAAATTGTTCATTAGTGTTGCAAATATTGTTTCTATTGGCAAATAGAAATATTAATAAACTCAACATTTAAAATGTTTTGTCTGATTTAATATCAAACATTGAAAAAAACTGGTTATGCATGTATACAGTGTGTTTAAATCTCTGGTTTTAACAATAGTTCTGTAGAAGCATCACCTTGATTGTTTGACTCAGTAGTGAGTTAAACATTACAAAAACTTCACAGCAGGATTAAACATGACTCCTGAGTCACAGAAGATGTTCACTTCCTTCCAAGCATACATACAGAACTCTGTAAGCTAATCTCAATTTATTTAGTAGACAAAAGATTAAAAATTGAGTGGATGGATAAATGGATTTCCACATCTATGAATATGTTATTGCTCCGGACAAGAATGGTTGTATTAAGGAAGACATTTTCAGGCTAACATGGACTACCATTTGCTTATTTCAATTTTTAATTTTTCTCTTCTTGTTCCCTGGTGCTCCACACATTGTAACTACTTAGAACTGCTTAATTTGCCTTTACTTTTTCTATTTGTGCATTTTGAGGCCAATGTGGATCTTGTTCAAAAATATAACAATTAAAAAATAGAAACGCCTCAGGCATTGAGCTCCTGTTGAAATGTGCTTTGCTCAGCTTGAGTGTCAACTTTGTGGATACACATTAGTGCAATGTGACTCAACCTCCAGCTACTGTTTTATGCCCTGTCCACAGAACTGCATCTAAAATTAGCCTTTAAAGCTTAAACATTTAAATATATTAAAATGATTTCTCTAGGCTCTAGGTAAACATTTTTTCCTGCAGAATCTATTCTGTTAAACACATTAACCAGAACAGTGTGCCCACTTTGTAATGCAATATTTGTTCATTGTTTAAAGAGTCTTTTGTGCATAATTGCCGCATTCACAACACCCTTCCTTCTAATATCTGCAGAGTTATCATTGCTGAGACTGTAGGGGGTACATAGCATCATTTCAAACCTCATTTAACACCGAACGTACCCTTTCTGGAGCTCAAATTGCTCACCATGGAGAAGTAGAGAGACTCTAGACATTCATTAACTTAATGAAAACAGGCCACCCTTCTTCTACCGCCCAGTGAGCTTGTTCCTGATGTAACCGCAGCGACCATCTGCTCTTCTGCTCCCTGCCAGCCACAGGATAGTCCTGTCACAGCAGCTCCAATGAAGGAAGACATCCACAAAGGTGCTTTAATCACTGAGATCAGAGGACGGGCAAGGACAGCAAGAATTCATCCTTTCTTGTTTATATCCCTTTCTTCTTCTTTTTTTAGTTTTATTGGTTTTATCCCCGCATCCTTTGGCGCTTCCCGATTGTGGTTGCTTCACTCATCTGAGATGTTAATGATGTTCATGAAAGAAGCTGAGTGTGCAGTTATCGGAGTTGACTTGCAGCAGCCAGACACAGCTGGCAGTAAGTTATTAGCTGCTCAGGCACAGCAGGAGATGATGCAATCTGCAAAAGTTAATATCATTTTAGGGTTAGACAGAGTGAGATGTATTGGGCAACTGACCACCTGTTCAGATAAGAAGTTGAAGTTTTAAGATTCTAAAAAAGGGAACTTAAGTTCTGAAAGTCAAAAACATTGATTATCATTATAAGATGACATAGGTCTTTAATTTTTCTTATGTTTATCTAAATCTGCAAGTTTAGGTTGTTTTATCAATTTACTCTTAAATTAATCACAGCTAATTCTAGCAGACTCTGACTATCAGTCTTGAAAAATGATTCAGGTGCCCTGAACGTTTTTACATCTTGTGATATTTTGTTAAATGGACAAATCTTTGAGAGATCACTGCTAACGTGTAGATAATTGCAAAGTGAATAAAGATTTACATGATACTTATTTTTTGGAGTATGTCTCTATCGCGGTGCATTTCTGTGTTATCACATTTTTCCATACTTTTCCTGAAACATCTAATCCTCAGACAGGTTGCATTGGAAGCATCTGTTAGTAGCAAATTGTATATTCTTAATGAAATTTTGTTATGTCCTGTGTTGGTTTGTGTTACTTTAGAAGTTTGATTATACACTATACTAGTTGGCATGACAGAACAATTGCAACTTGCCAAATGACAACATGTTCTTGAAAACCGCTCTCCGTATTTTTAAATCTGTGATTCATGCTAGTTTGCAATCTCTCCTTCCAGTTTGATTTTCTCCAATGTAGTAGATGGTATGTCAAAAAAAAATCTCCTTCCTTATGACCTATGGAAAATCTTAATTGGCACTACAGCTACCAAACATTTCTTACAATTATGTGTTGTTTAGTTTTCTTTTAAAGTTATATTTAAATTTCTCCATAACTTTATCCCTGATCAATTGATCAATTGTGTTCATTGAACTTCATGATGCATTTCATGAAGTTCACTGATGCTCTCTTACAAACATTTCAGGCCTTCAGAGAAAAATCATCCACAGCACTAGATTTTATTTTTGGATATGAAAGTAATTGGTGATTAAATATAAATTGGCATAACTTCTCAGATATTTCTTTGTAAAACAATTTGAAAACTATGCATCTTTTCCTTTCACCTCTCATTTCTGTACTACTTTGTGTTGTTCTATTACTTTAATTATGAATAAAAAACATTTGTGGTTGCAATAAGTTAAAATGGTAAAAACAAAAAAAATAAATAAAGTGGTATGAATATGTTTGCAATCATTTTACATGAACATGAGATGGTGCAAAATAAAAGGGCAAATGATAGTCAGAGCCTGGAGCTCGAATCTGATGGTTTGTCATCTAGATAGTATTACTTAATTTCCCAATGGGATGGGAACTCATTATTTCTGACTTTATCTCAGCATTGACCTCTGGAACTGTTTCAGGAACGTTATTGGTTTGAGTCCATGCTCCCATTTTTTTTTTGTTTCTACAGTCCAACATTGATGGTGAATACAGATATGATACATCACTAGCGAGGGCACGGTGGAGGCGAGGGATAGACACATATGTCATCCTGAACCGCAGATGAGAATCACATTCACCTTTAATGCACGGCACATAGACCAAAATGGTATTGATTTATTACAGGCTACATTACAGCCCTTTTCTCTCACAGCGAATGGAATGTGAAATTTTATTGATACAGGATGACTAATGGCCAGCAAATGTCTTTTATGGTTAACCTTTTCTCCAAAAAGATCAAATTCCTTTTACACTGAACACTTATGGAGAGAGACTCACTCTGTGGCATTTGTCTTCAGTTATCTAAGTTTTTTTTTTTTTTTTTTTTACATCAGTGCTCTTCTCATATGTTTGAAACACCAATAAGCTGCTTGATTTTCACTTTTCTCTCTCTCTTTTTGGCTCTCCTGTCTCAGTTTAACTTTGTAGGGAAGCTGCTTGGACCGCGAGGGAATTCTATGAAAAGATTACAAGAGGAGACAGGAGTGAAGATGTCCATCCTTGGCAAAGGATCCATGAGGGATAAAGAAAAAGTAAGACACATATTGATTTGTGCTGGAATGTGGTTATTTGGCAGTCCGAGAAGGATTATTTACAGAAACCTAAGCACTACAGAATATTTAACTATGAACATATATTTAGGATTAGAAAAAACTTAAATAACTTACTTCCAGATAACCACAGAAAGTACAAAACAATGTTTTTAAATGATGATATTATGCATTAGGGGAAAACCCTCTGTGACCCAACTAAAGAAATCTGTAAGCAGTTTGTATCACACTGTTCATATACATTCTAGTGACTATCTTAAAATATTGCATGGGTAAAATATATATACTTTTCACTTTACAGAACTAAAGGGGAAAAAAACATTTTTTCTTTCATGTTGTTTCTTAGCTTTTGTCAATTAGGAATCGAAAGCATTGAATCTCCCTGACAGAGCCATTTATCTCGTTGACTTATGGTCCCCTGGGACCAAACCAGGCGTGAGGACAGACTGCCTTCTGGGGCTTATATTCATGCTTATAACAGGTCTCAGAGTGTTCCTATTGAGTTTCAGTGCTATTATTACTGCAGCCTTTGATTCAGACATCTTGACATGACAAAAGACATACAGCCTTCCCATGTCTTCACTGAAACTGGACCTCTTCGTTTCATTACAAGGGAAAGAAGGGGTGAGAAAAATAATACAGGGGCTTTTAGAATGACTTTAAAGTGGCTGTAATTGATAGTTTCACAGAACCATGAAGACTATTTGACAATGTGAAAGGGTGTTTTTGCCTGGATTATCAGACGGACTTGTGGCTACCCACAGCTTAATGGAGTTTTGTGCTTTATAATAACACATTTCATGTCACTGCTAAGTGCAGCTGCCTGCCCAGTTCCAGTGTTCATGTACGCAGGCGGCAGCAAAAAAGTTTTGAAATCTAAGAATAGACTTTTTGCTGAAGGCAAAGCTGTTGCAAAAGTCCTTAGAATCAGGTATTCTACTCAACAAAACAAGGTCTACAGGTGGAGAACCTTTAAAAGAACATCTAATATGCCCAAGTCTACCTATTCAAAAAAGTTCACCCTGAAGAAGACCACAAGATGTTAAGACCAATTTCATAAGACAATAAAATGTCATCATGATCCCTGCAATTGTCTCTTGCTGCTGCTGGCATGACAGTGCATGCAATCAGAAAGAGACTAAATATGTTTAACTTCCACAGTGAGTGTGAAGGAAATATACATATAACTGTGTCAGAGTTTTGCAAATAGTTATCTCATGAATAAGTTGTTTGTCTCTCTACTGTAAGCTGGGAACAGAATGAGGTGGACCATCCTGTTCTTGGAGAAACCGGTTTCAGCTAGTTCAGAAAGACCCCTCTACTCCCTATCTTTAATTTTCTATTTTATGACTGACCTCTACCCCATTTTGACTAAAATCAGGCTGCTGCAGGTGACAAGTTGGAGGTATCCTGAAGCACCACTGAGACTCTTCCTCTTTGGAAAGGGTGAAGTGATGCTACTTTCTGTGTAGTTCTTTATATGTACAGGTTAAAATACCCAACATATCGGCTCATGTATTAGTACCGAAAACAGCCAATACAGTCCTGTCAGTTTGGTTTGCACATATCACACATTAATATAGTGCTGTTTTAAACCTTAACGGATGTAGAATGTTGATGTCATAAGTAAACGTGTGATACAACGTTCTGGACAGAAAGAGCTCCTTGTAAACTCTTGTTTTGGACCATTAAAGTTTCTCATGCTGCTGCAGTAGAGAAAGAAAGCAGTCATTAACCGCATCTTTATTAAATCGCAGAGAGGTATGTAGCTTGCTGAAGATCTAACTGAATAATTTGTATCAGGAGTGTCTAAAGTCAATTCTCAAGGGCCAGTATTCTGCATATTTTAGTTCTTTCCCTGGATTAACAACACACCTTCATCAAATGATGGCATATAATGAACATTAACATGCTGGGGAGGCAGTATCTACCATGGAGATGAACCAGGGAGAGCCCTGAAACATGCAGGATACCTGCCTTTGAGGATTGACTTTGGACACCCCTGACTTACCTGAAATAATGTCAAGCTGAATGTAAACATCATTCATCTTATGTCCAAATGGCTGTCTGTAGCATCCACTCATCCCAAATTCTGTACATGGTACAAAATGTAAGTTGGAGGAATCCTACTTGTATGAGAGGATAGTTTTATTTGGACGGAGGATTCTTGTATTCAGTTACCAGAACAGGAGACAAGTCTGGCTTAGATAAAATACAGTATTTCAGGAAAAAGAAATCTCAAACCAACTGTGAAGAATAGAGCTGGAAGAATCATGGTTTTGGTATGCTTTGCAGCAGCAGGACCTGCCCACCTCACCATTAAAGGGCCCATAATAAATTCAAATTCAAAAAGGCAAAGCACAGGCTGAGAATTAAGAAATGTAAAGTCCCTGGCATTTTTAAACCCAGATCTTGATTCCAGTGAGATGTTTGGTGTGATTTGAAATGGGGCTGTACATGCAAGAAATGCCTCAAGCATCTCCCAGCTGAATGTGAGGAGTGAAAGCTGATGTCAGAGACTAGAAGAAAAGAAGCTTCTTTTCTATCAGACAGATGGAGTTATTTCCACCAATGCTATTAGGGGTTAAGGTTTCTTCACGTGTTAAGACTTCACACCATCTAAAATCCCTTTGAAACCTGCTTGAGTTTTCATCGAACTGCTGTCGTTAAATACAACAAGAGATGGTATCAATCATTATTATGGTGCTTTGGTAGTAGAAAAAGCAGCTGCAACTCACATGAGTTATTTTCGCAACATTTTCTGCAGTCATAGCTGCTTGTCAAGCAATAGCCATGCAAACAAACATCGACCATTGAGTCTGAGCGAGCTACTCAGTGGGAAGAGCAGACTTCACTCACCTGAAAATGATGTAGACTCGATGTGATTCGGGACCTTAAACATTCAGCAAAAAAATCTTTTGAACTTGTGCATGGATGAAAATTTATTTTAGATGCAAAATCAACTGGCGTCAGGTCCAGGTCAGGACACAATTTGTTCCAAACATTCGGCACAATGGACTATGACCAAAATTAATCAAATCCTATATGCAAATGAGGTAGTCTTTGTTTAAATAACTGTTGCTATGTAAACATTAATTTCTTAATCTATTTTTACAATATGCTCGTATCAAAAAGATGTTCATTTATTGTGTCACAAGCCTTTTTCATGCAGACTGACTTTTAGACAGTCAGATTCCTGCAGACAGAGGCTTGATACCTTTCAGATTTAGGAGTTTTTATTTTTGCGGTATTGATTTCATCTACTATCTGAGCTGGTCTGAAGGAGATGCAACTGACATCCAGAGGACATGGATAAAAGCCATCCTGTCATTTAAGGCAGCTGGCCACTTGACAGTGTTGAGCATTCACAGCCAAAGTCCAATTCTATATCACACATATGTCAGTGTCTTGCAGCCAGCATAAAGTCCCCAGTTCTGTGGTTGAATGCATCAATACCCCAACATTTCATCTTTGTATTTCTATTTTTTTACCTCAGAATAGTTCATCTGGGATATGTGTGTATCAAAAAAAAACTGAATGTTGCATAAATCTGCAAAATTCTTGCCAGTCTACTATTATTACTTTGGTGAGAACGTGGGCAGCGGCATTCTCGATCAGCTGGAGCTGATTTTTTAGAGAGTTCTCTAAGGACACTGTTGCAGTAATCAATGCGACTAAAGATGAACGCATGGATGAGTTTCTTAGATCTTGCGGGGACATGAGTCCTTCAATCCTGAAAATGTTCTTCAGGTTATAGAAGGCAGACTTTGTAACTGCCTTTGTGTAGCTCTGAGGTTCAAGTTAGAGTCAGTTGCTACACCCAGATATTTGGCCTTATTGCTCATTTCCAGTAGTAATAAATGATGCTGTGTGCTGACTCTAGATTGTTCCTGTTGAGGTCCAAAGGTAACTTCAGCCACTCCTGAACCAGAGACAATGTGAGAGGCATCCTACCTAAGGAGAAAAGGAACTGGACTGTTGTAATTTGTTGACTTTCACCTCCCAGTCAATAAACCAGCATGTATTCATCAGGTTAACATGAGACAAAAACACAAAGCTTCTTGATGTTCCCCCCCAAGATAAATCAAATACTGATGGTTAGAGAAAATGATATCGCTTGAATTTTCTTAAGGTCACAAATGCCTTAAAGCTGCAATGGAACAAAATTATTTAAATTCATTAAAGAGTCAAGCATACTGCAGGAATAATAATTATTTCTACCGTAATTTGTGCTGTCTTCTGTTTTGCTTTTAGAGATCTTGGAAACAAAGATGCAAAGACAGTCAACATGCAGGTTTTGATCAGATCCATAGTGATCTGACAGACATGCAAAGACTGCTAAAATCCTGGAGTGCTTTTAATTAAAGACGACCTCTCTTAAAGGGCAAAAACAGTTCTGCAGTGTGAGGACAAGAGTTGGAATCCACAATCAGGCTGATAGGAAATGAGTACATGACTGATACTCCCACCTCCACTAAAAGCCACTTGTCCTTGAGTAAAGAACCCAACCCTTAAGTGCTGATGTTTAAGATGGATCAATTCAGACAAAAAATGGAAACAAGTTACATTTCTGGTCAACAGTTTACACACACTGAACATTTTCATTTTTGGTATTTAATAATATTTATAAGTCAAAGAATGTGTTTAAAACTTATACAGACCATAACTTAGCCACGTTAAAGGCTAAGTTATGGTCAACAGAATCATTCTGTCATGGTTCTGTTGATTGATTTTTGTTTTCATATTTGTGCATCTCTAACAGTTACTGTTCTGTTATTTACTAAATTAACCTGTAACAATAATATAACACTGATAATTTTTTTTTTTAAGTTAATCTGGACAAAAGTTCTACAAACATGTGTTATGTTCAAAGTATTAATGAAGCAGCAGGTTCACAAAGATACTTTTAAGAAAGTGTTTATACTATATTTAGTTTATCTATTCATTTTCAGTCAATTTAATAGATTAACTCTCACTTTGCTCAGCCACTTTGTGTCCATGTTAGCAGTGGGATTTTACACTTTCATTGTACACAGAAATGCGTCTGCCAGTTATGCAGACACAGCGGTGCGCTCCACCACCCATTTATTGTGACTGGGATGATGGTAAATTTATTTTCCATTTCATCTGTAAAGCATCAACTACAGCAGTCCACTGTGCTCAGACTATCCGCTCCATCCATATAAATACATCTACTGCACACTTCAATGCCACTCACCCCAGAGTAGTCACCAAGAAAAAGCTATGAGAGGATAAAGGTTATCCTGTTCGATGCATCGCACCAGTTCTATTAAGAATGCTTATTGGTCCCCCAAAGAACAATAAAAACCCTGGACATTTTCATCGAACTGGAATGTTAAGATGCTAACATTCAAGTTAGCAGTATAATTTGATTATTTGTGCAGCATAAATAATCACTTGGCCAGAAAAACGCGTGCTTAATAGTAAAACGGAATTTAATGAAGCTTGAAGACAGGAATTCCAATAATCAAGATACTCAAATCATTCATGGAATCGCTAAAAACAATCCAAAGATTAATGCACTTAAAAATTGCTTCCAATGTGATTCCAGGTGTTGAATATGAAATCCAGATAACAATATACTACCACAGTTAAATATGGTGGAACATGCTTGGACTTTTTTATGTTTGACATCAGAATTGATCATTTCCCACATTTTCTTCATTTGTCTAAGCATCCGTTGTGCCAAATATTTTTGGTAAATCTCCTTTAACTATTACTTTTGGAATTTACTGTAAATGTGATTGTTCTTTCCAAAAGGGCTGAAACAGTTCCTCCATAAATTTGGGTACCTTGATTAAAAAAATCAGAGAATTTTGACTATTAAAAACAATTAAAAATTAGGATACTTCTCAGGAAGAGTGAGCCATTGACTTTCACCTATTTTGCAATGCAGCTGATTGTTAAAAACATTGTGTACAACTGCAAGTTTGAAAGATAAAAACAAATGTTAAATTGTATTTAAAGCCAGTTCTGCTGCTCCCAAGTGGCCAAAGCAGACACAAACTTAAAATGCTGAGTTTACTTTAGAAAACAAATGATCCTCCCAGCAGTTTAACATTTTTTTCTGTACAATTTACGGGATCTACTTTAAAAGAAAATATCTGAAAGCTTTGGAATGTTCATCTCAACACTAGGTTTATGGAAGCAAGTGTGGTTTGATGACTAATACAAAAAGAACAACACTCAAAAAATAACATAATTGGATTTGCAGTTTGTCTCTGATGATTAAACCTGTCATTTCCTTTCCTAGAAAAAAAAGATGACTCAAGTTTTGTTGCAACTTTTAGCATAATGATGATGAAACTTAAATATTGTCGTAATGTATATCTGAACACTTCCCAGTGTGTTTGTGATATTATTTCACACTACTGCCTCTTCCTATGACGAGAGATTTGATGTGGTGCCTTTCAAATAAATTGTTCCTGCCTCATGAATCTTTTTCCACATTTTCTCATTTTATGACTTCAGGTTTCAATGTGTGTTATTATGATTATGTGAGTTTACTTATGTGACCTTATGTGAGAAACTGACACTAAGAAGTGAAAATCCAGATTTTAAAGTGGACGTGAAAAATTCTATTTATGAATTTTATTTTGAAATAAAATGTTGAATAGGATGGCATGCCTTTGTATCTTGCTCCAGGTCCTTAACTTGAATAATCAGTAGCCCAATAATATTTGTAACCTGGGATATACATATTAGTTTAAAATTTGACTTCTGTTCAAAAAGGCAAAGTCACTTCACTGACTCCTTTATTTTTACAGGAAGAAGAATTACGGAAAAGCGGGGAGGCCAAATACGCCCACCTGTGTAATGATTTACACGTCTTAATTGAAGTCTTCGCTCCACCAGGAGAGGCCTATTCCCGCATGAGTCATGCCTTGGAGGAAATTAAAAAATTTCTTGTTCCAGTAAGTTTATTACTTCACTCACTCTCTTATTTTTATTTTTTTATTATTTTTCTGTAAGAGAACAATAGTCACTTCTGCTGACTTGATTGTTTCTCCACCAGACCTATTAATTTTTTGCTGGGCTGAGAATATGCAAGGTTTTGTTTAGAGAAAAAGAAGATACACGTATGACGTTTATCTCTGCTGCGCTACATGTTTTTTTTCTTTGTTCCAAAGAAAAAAATAATATATTCTGCAATTAAAATGCAGTATGAAACAACTTGCAAGACTCTAGCAACTCAGAGCCTGAAGAACTTTGCTGTAATTAGTGTGCATGTTGTGTACTCTTGCTGAGTCTAAGCTGTAAATATTAATCAAGCTTTGCAAATGTGACAAGCCTAATAGAGGAGTTGTACTGGATGAATCTACTTTATGGGGTTCACGCTTCTTCCTGTACTGAGCCAGCGCGCTGTATGCAAACTGGGCCAGCAGGATGATGATGCTGCAATAGCACTGAGCTAAAGCAAATACAAATTACTTAACACCGAGTGCCAAAAAACAAATTAGTAAAGGATTATAACCTCTTTCCAAAGAGGTTAGGATGCCATATAGTATAGACTGAAATAGAATGAAGTGATTTGCAAACTATGTAAATCTTCTATTTAATTATAAAAGTGCTACAACAACATGATGTTAAAAGCTAAAGCTTTTTGAGCACGCACAACAGCTAGTAGTTTCTTTTTTCATCCATTTTTTTTAAACATGCTCGGTCACACATTAAGTTAAGAAGTTTTCACGAGCAAGGACCACACGTTTTTTTATTTATTTATTTTTTTCATATTTGGACTATGTTATGTATTTTTGATAACTTAACTTTATTTTTGTAGTTTTTGATTTTGTAGTTAATATATGTGAAAACACAAGGATGATGTTTTTGCATCCTTGTGGCGACCTTTTCTTTGTCTACATTGTGAGGGGGCCACTGCTGCTAGTGGGGACAAATCCTGGTCCCTGATGTTTTTGAGTTTGGGACTAAGGTGTGAATTGAGTTTTGTTTAGGGTTTGGCTGTAGAAATGAATGGAAGTCAATAGAAAGTCCCTGCAACTATGTTTGTGTTCATGTGTCCTACATGTTTTTTTTGTGTTTTAGAAAGACTCTCAAAAAAAAAAAAAAAAAAAAATATATATTATATATATATATATATATATATATATATATATATATATATATATATATATATATATATATATATATATATATTATATATATATATATATATATATATATATAATATATATATATATATATATATATATATATATATATATATATATATATATATATATATATATATATTATTATTGTGCCGCGTTTTCTGAGGCGCATTTGAGAACAACTCTTGGCTGCATTTTGCTGCGGTCTTTTTCAGTGTGAAAGAGAGATTTCACACCTCACCTCCCTCCAGGTCGCAAAGCATTCCACTCCACATTGTTTGGCCATTTTTGTAGTTTGAGCAGCAAAATGGAATATTATGGTGGCATTATGGTGACAAAGAGGTAAAGCACAACCCATGACCCCAACATTGCCGTCACCCGGTCTGATAACCTTTGCTGCATGTCTTCCCACCCTCTCCTAACCAACTTCCTTGTCTGACCACTCTCAAATAAAGCCACTAGTGTCAATAAAACCTATGAAAGAAATTGAATGCTCTACAATTTTCTACCAACAGAGAGAAGCCTTTTATTTCCAAATTTATGTCAACAAACATCCAACATGTGCTCGCCAGAGTCGGATTTACCAAACTGATCACCTGGAAGTCATGACCTTATTTAGCAGTTCTACAGCAAATATGGTGATGTAATAGAGAAGAAAACGTTATAGACAATAGAGAAAAATAAACAGACTGAAAAACATTAGCCATAAAGAGTATAAATATATCCACGTAGCACAAGGAGAGATTAAATAAAAAGAAATTTGCTCTTCTAGAAACTCAAAGTACACAAATAGATGCATTTATGGGCTAAAAAAGTGGAGCTGATATGTACTCTTTAAAGACTTTAGAACTTGGATAATGTGCTCTATTTTCTTGGTTTTAATGAGAACATTACAGCAGTGATGATGAAGATTGAAGACATAACCCCTCGCATAAAAGCGCACTCACATACCAGGATCATGACACCAGTGGTACATGGTCCATCTGTAACCAACACCATAAGTAGTTTTTTGCAACAATAAAGTTGCAAAGGTCTTGGAAGAGTTTCTGATTTTTGTTTTTACTCATTGTGAAGTGGCTTTTGTGTGATACCTCTGTAATGAGAAACCCTCTGAAAACCATCAATTCATTTCCCATGGTTGTGGTAGGGCTGGACAATATAAAAAACACATCACAATACAAGGGTTTAATATTTGTCAATATTTCGAATTATTGATAAATTATGAATATCTGAAATACTGCCATAACCTTTCCTCTTCATCCACAGTTTATTCTTGAGCTGTTATTCTCTATTTCTCCTTTCACTCCTCGCATTTTTTGTTTCTAAGCAATTTTGAGGCAAAGCTTGAAACTGCTTCTGTGCCAGTTACTCCACAGCAACTGGCTCAGAAGACACTTACTTGCCTTGGTTGTTGCTTAGCTGGCTGTGAGAGGTTGAGCAGCTATGGCCTTTCATCTGCCTACATCTTTCACAAGGCTGTGCAGTTCAGTGAAATTATTGAACATTTTATGAGTGGGCATTTTATTGCTATTGATCAAGTGTTTATCGATATACATGTAATATTTCTATCTATCTATCTATCTATCTATCTATCTATCTATCTATCTATCTATCTATCTATCTATCTATCTATCTATCTATCTATCTATCTATCTATCTATCTATCTATCTATCTATCTATCTATCTATCTATCTATCTATCTATCTATCTATCTATCTATCTATCTATCTATCTATCTATCTATCTATCTATCTATCTATCTATCTATCTATCTATCTATCTATCTATCTATCTATCTATCTATCTATCTATCTATCTATCTATCTATCTATCTATCTATCTATCTATCTATCTATCTATCTATCTATCTATCTATCTATCTATCTATCTATCTATCTATCTATCTATCTATCTATCTATCTATCTATCTATCTATCTATCTATCTATCTATCTATCTATCTATCTATCTATCTATCTATCTATCTATCTATCTATCTATCTATCTATCTATCACATAATTAAAAAAAATAAGCAGTTCACAGTAAGCCCAACAGAATAAACCTTCATAGAGGCAAATAAGGTGATGAACAAGACATCTGGAATGATGTGCATGTTTCACACATTCACACCGTCAGGGATGCTCTTTACTTCCTGTAGTGTATATATATATATATATATGTATATATATATATATGTTTATACACATATGTATAATTAATATATGCACAACCTCTGCAGTTTCATGTTGTCTGTAATCAAAACATTCATTGGAAAGTGTACATGTTTGAATATAAAATAAAAACCCTTTGCAACACCCCTGTCATGCTCAAAGCTGTCATGCTCACAATTTAAATTTTACTTTAGTAGCCAATTTGATTCCTGCTGTGCCTTGCGCTGTAATACTGTCATCCACCTGTCCTAGTAAAAAGGAAGGGAATTTATTTATTTTTGTGGAATAAAAATGCAAATGTGTTTTGTCAGTGTGAGAATAATAAAAAGAATACTGCAAGCAGAACTTCTATTCTAGCTTTATTGCTGCAGTTTGGAAAAAGATGTGTTGCTGTTCTTTTAGATATCGCAGCCATGTGTTTTAATTAGAATAAAAGTAGATTGGACAATAAATGAAAACATATCCACATCCATGAGGGTAAACAGATTGTCTCCTTTGTGAAAATCTCCCACCACAAATAATGATGAGGAATCACTGAAAATGGACCAGTTTGCAGAGTTTTTTAGAAACTGACATTGTTGCCATACAGGAGAAAATACTGTAGTTGCAATTGGTAAAACGCCTTATCCTGTCTTAATTTTGTAAAGCTTATTCTAAGATAAAGCACTGATTGATAGGGGGGAAAAATCATGTTGGTTTCATATTGGCTGTTGAGGTGTTTGGTGTTTGAGTCAAGTCTACAAATATTTAGTTAGATTAGAGCAGTGTACACCTAGATTTAACAAGCAGCCTCTCTATGTGCCAACTAAACCTAAAAATAAAGACATTGTACCTTCTGTTACATGGATCTTGCTTGTTGCCTTAGGGATCTTATGGATTTGCACACAATGCAACACAACAGGCACCTGTCAGTATCTATAGTGACAGATGTTTCCCGCCTCCAGTGAAGAATAAAGTCACTGTCCTGCTGTTTTCCTTTCTTACTGACATTCTATGCATTAAAAGCTGTGCTGTAAAAGCCAAGCTGTCAGGTTATTTCTAAGCAGAAGTCGCACATTGATGAAAATTACATGCATAAAGCTGCATGTCGAACACATAGAATGACAACTTAACTGCTTCAGGTGCGTTAGCATCCACAGCTCAGTCCAGATACTATTACATGTTAAAAAGACACAGGGCTTTATTGTTAATGTCCATGCTGCTGCTTAGGAATACCAAAAGAGTTTTACAGCATGGTTTTTAATGCATAGAATGTCTATAACAAAGAAAAACTGCAGGACGGTAATTTCATTCATAGATATAAATATCCACTTTAGAGTTTTGTTTCAGGATTAGAAAGACATACAAATGCAAATGGAAGCGCAAATACCCCATAAATATTTTGCAGAGTGAGAGGCAGTTAGGAAGAACAGGATATCCTCCATGTATATGGGTAGCCCTGCTGCTTTAATCTCAGCCCAAATGGCAGCAGATTAAGGGTAGCACAAATGCCTGAGGAATTGTTATCAGAGCCTCACCAAATAAAATATATATAATTTAGTTGATGCATAATTTGGTTCAGGGCTGGCTTCTCATTAAAAGCTCGACTGATTAGTTATCTAGTATGAAAAGGTGTGTATTGGACCCTTTTTCTTAATGGAATTTAAAATATTAGCACCCAAAATTGTTAAAGCTAGTTAAGAAAAAACTAATAAACAAAATCATTCAATGATTTGCTCTTTTTCCTCCTCACTGGAAGAGGCTAACATTCTCAAACATTTGTAGATGTTCAACGTGTACGTGACTGTATTTCACACATTGTGACATTTTTTCAACAAATGCAATGTTGTGAGGACAAATTGCTCCTTAAGGGGTCCCTGTAAGAGGAAGTGTTTTTTTGGATTAAGTTTAGGACGAGGGTATAAGTTGAGTTTAGGTTAGGATGAGGTACTGATAGTTGTTAAGATAAAGGTATCAGCATTAGATTATAGAAATTGCTGGAAAATGAATGGTCTCTGAAGGCAGAAAGACATGCTGTGAATCTATGTGTGAAGCATCTGGCTTTTGATGAAAAAAAAAAAATGTTGCACTCTTTTTTCTGCTACCACGAGTCATAATGTGTTCCAAAAATCCTCCTGACCTGTTTTATCATTTCACGCATAATTTCTTGTGAAACGATACATGATACATAAATTATTCTACTATTTTATGATTCAGTCCAGTTTTTAATAATGTTTTCTAAATTTTCAGCAGGGATGAATAACTAGAACATCAGATTTTGCAAAGTCGAAATAGCTGGTTTTGTCCTTTGGCATTAAAGATGCAGAAAAAATATAAAAAATGTAACTAGCCAACAAAACCATTTAAAAAAAACACATATTACCTTTTAAGGCCTGCCACGTGAAGATTTGTGGAAAGTAAAGGTGCTTCAGTGGATTCATTTAGGTAGCTTCTAATAGTAAGGAACAAGTGGTGCTAAATGCTTTTAACACAAATGTCATTCAAGCAGTCCAAACTCCATTGTTTAACTGTTTGGTTGCCATAGCAAAAACAATGTTTGGACCACTTGAGTGACAACCATGCTAACTGTTTTGCAAAAGAGTAAGGGAAATATGTCAATCCAATGAAAAAGGGTGAACACATTTGCAAGAGGTGTCTTCTGCTCTGCTGAGATAGTGATGTTGAAAACTGAGTAGATCCCAATTTCTTTAAGCAGGTCGAAGCAATCAAGATAAACTGTGAAGAAATGTATGTGAAACAAGTAATGCTGTGTAATAGACCTAGAACCACGACTACCGGTATGACCACCCTTCTTCTGCTGACCTTGTAAAGTCTAACTTTAGCTTCATGAACAGCGGTGAGGCTGTTCAAGGTCATGCATGGTCAGAATTAATCACAGAGAGCAAACAGTCAGCCCAGAAAGGGCTCCGATTGGAGGTTATCTCTGTGCACTCATTCTAGCACCTCTGTCAACAGTCAGTTTTGACGAGCTCTGGCTGCTTTGTTGTCCTTTGTATGAGCTGCCAGCTTCCCTATTAAGAGCTCCACCATTCCTTTTCAAGAAAACCAAGTCAACAAATGCAGCCTTAGTGGTTCATTAATAAAAGGAGTGCAGCTTTCCATGTGCGGCTTGATAAAGGTGCACATGGGAAAAAATTATGCACAATTTAAATGTCAATATATCTTTGGGCTTTGGTTTGATAGATCTTCACCTGTTTAGGTTCACTGTAGAAGTCTCAACATTTGTGTGATTTAGTTAGAAATATGTGTCACTTTGCTTTTAAAAAAGAGTTGACAGATATATATTTAAAGTCAACGAAGAACGCAATTCGGCTTTTATTTTATTTGTCTGATGTTGAAAGCTGAGATATATTATTTTTATCAAACAGAAGTGATTAATAGATAAGATTATAACTAAATTAAATGATCTGAAAATTTAAATGAAAAACTAGATGTACTGTTTATTTCCACGACACTTGTGAACTGTGATTCACTAGAAATTGGAATAATTATCAGTGTTGTCACTTTCCATACCACCAGGTCAAATACACAGAAAAACAAACAAAGTCTTACTGATATATCTGTCAAAAATATAGGAATAAACGACAAGGCAGCAAAGCAAATCTTTTAATACTTCAGAGAAATAAGCCTGTTAGTATGTCAGAGATGACAAGATAATAGATACTTTGTCTTTGTTCCTCTGTCTGCTGTGTAATGATCCATATTTAAATATGAGCTGAAAGAAATAATTCAAAGGACAAAATATTTAGAAAAAAATCCTGAAAGCATAAAGTACAAACTATTAGATTTGTTAAGTGCGTCCGAGGTTAAAGTGCTTTACCTCATTTGTACATTTAGTCATGTTACAACCACAAACTTTATTTTGTATGACAGACCAACACAAAGTTATGTGTAATTATGATGTGGATAGAAAATAAGAACAGAAATCTCAAGTGTGTAAGCATTTCTATCCAATCCCCTTTTGTCTGAAACCTCCAAATGAAATTCAGAAACTACATTGCTTTTTCTGTAGTTTCTGGATCAGTAAAAATGAAGCTGCTCTGTAAAGACCCCCAAGGTTTGCTAGAGAACATATGTGATGAAGACCAAGAAACATCAGTTGGGTAAAGCTGGAGTATTGTTTTTAAGAAAAAAACAATATCCTAAGCCCTGAACATCAGGAGCCCTGTTGAAATCACCATCTAAACATGGAATGTCCCTAACCCATTGCAAATCTAAAAAAAAAAACAAAAAAAACATGACTGTTCACCCAGCCTTACAATAATTAAGGAGAGCTAAAAGTGCCAAAATAACGATCATCTAATTGTCCAGATCATAACTGATCATAAGCTATTATGCAAAGAAGAATGAGAAATACTTTCCTTCCTTCAATATACAAAGCTGGTAAAGACATACCATAAAGAGGTATTGATTTGACGGAGTAAAAGATTGCTCTCCAAAAGCATGATGCAGGGAATGGGCTAAAAAAATATGTGTGTATTGATTTTTTTTTTTTAGATTTCCGTTTTTACTCTTTAAATTGAAACCCATGTATCATTTTTCTTCCACTTCACAAGTATGGACCACTTCATACTTGTGATGCTGGTCTATCACATAAAATTCCAATAGCTTGTGATGATGTCTGGCACTGTAAAAAGGAGGAAATGTGGAAAAATCAAAGAGGCAGAAATACTCTACAGGACTCTATTTTCTGTCTCCATACATGGCAACACTTTTGAGTTCTGAAAAGTGTTGATTATTTTTTTAATTATTTTTACTGCAGTAGGCCTTCTGAGCAACATTAATTATGCTTAATGTGTGTGTCAAGAGCAATAACTACCTACTACACTATGTGTGCCACATAAACAAAAGACAGCATGCTTCATCAACTATTTAATGCCTAAGAACAGTGTGGTTTTCCTGTGTGTCAAGATCATTTTCATTTAATGCTGGTAAAGCCATCTGTTGCAGTCAGAAAACAGGTGTCCTTTCTTTTAGTGTGTGATTTTGCTCTTTTTGCTTCCACAGGACTACAATGACGAGATTAGGCAAGAGCAGCTGAGAGAATTATCCTTGCTGAACGGATCAGACGAGTCGAGCAGAGGGAGGAGCATACAGGGGAGGAGCCTGAGGACAACAACCACAGCATCCACAATGTAAGGTGGCAACTTAGATTTGAACCGAAAGAAATCCTTGAATAAAGCTGGTGAATGTTATATATAAAATGTGTGGTCGACAATTACTACTGTGGTAAATGAAAAAACAGATAAAATTCAATAGTCCGTACTGAACGTGTCATTAGCTCAGTCTTTTTGCCCTTGTTTGCTCCTCTGGTATATGTCTGCACTTCATTCAGAATATAAATTGCTCTCAACACACAGCAAAGAAAACACAGCCATCAAGTTCATCAGATGTGAGCAACTTTAACCTAGTGTTGCATCAGGTCACAATCTATCTTTAATCATTTACTAAATCTGGCTTTTAACTGCAAACACAAAGAAAAAGACTACACTCAGTGCTTCACTATAACCGTAACTTGAACTTGGGTCACATCGAGTCAGAGGAACAAGTTGACAAAATTAAAGTATTACTTTAAACCTAAATCTGAATCACGTCGGGCTCAACTATATATGTTGTCAATATTAAGTTCAATCTTTAGTTGTGTTTGTAGATGTCTGTTTATGAAGACTGCATAGCAGCAGGTCGCTTTTTTAATGTTTTTCCCATCTTTCAAAATTTCTTTTGCTTTCAGGGGGCAGATAATTTTTCACATTGTCTGCCGACTGCAAGCAACTGTGGTGTGGAGAGAAAATACATTTTTATAGTCCTGTATTTTGCTTGAATATGTAGATATAGACATATTCTTTCCCTAAATGTGTGCATACTTGCTCATATAAAAAATTGCACAAGAGCTTGGCAGCACAATTTCAGAAGCAGAATTTCCTTTGGTGCTCTAAAAAATGTAGCTATTTTCTAGAACACCTTCAAAAACATGTCTTGAGTTTAAATTAGATTTATATTCAGTGAAGAGAAAGAGGGGAGACACATGGCTGTTTAGACCCATAGAAGGCGTATGAATATTTGTTAATCCTCTGACATTTATCAGCCATAATGCGTCATGCTGTAAAATTCAATGCCCTTATGGATATTCTGGAGCTCAGCAGGATGTTGTGAACGAGGTACATTTCAATAACAAAACACGAAGTGTCCACCTTCATGGTGAATTTTCAGATTAATTGGTTCTGTAGATTTTCTTTCCCGTATTTCAATTCAATTTCCACCATGTTTCCTCGAGGGAGATAGTGTTAAGTATTAAAAAAAGGCTTTTTTTTTTTCCATGAATTTTTTTTAATACCTTAATCATTCACGTTAGACAGAAATCTCTTCTCTTCCATGTATCCAGAGTTTGGGGATCTAAGCGGCACCAGACAAAAATAGCATTTGATTGACTTTGCCATATATTCAGCTACCTGCATGAAACACCTTTAAAGCAATTTGTCTGTAATCCACCTGAGCCGTGGCAGTCCCTCAGGAGAACGCAGGCACATTGTGCCATGACAGCATGGCCTGATTCAAGCAGTAGCTAAATCCAGCACAACCATGGGTTGCTCCCAATTCAAAAAACATCCCCACTACTTCCCTACCATGATTTCCTCCTCATACTGTAACGATAAGCAATTTTTCAAAGCTCCATGAAAAATATGCCACCAGAAATTCCTCTTTTGAGTATTTGTATTTTGGCTCCCAGTGTGCTGCTACCTAGAGGAGGATGTGCCAGAAGGAAGGAAGGTGTTCTATCTCACCTCAGGGAGAACGTTAAAAAGTGAGTTAACAATGGTACATCCTTATCGCTGCAGCAGTTTCTCTGTGGAGCAGTTGCTGGACAGTCACACTGTTATTAAAGAAACAATATGGCCTAAATTCCTCTTGATTGCCCCGGTCCTCTGGCCTCTCTGCTGGTGAATTCAGTAATGCTGTTAATACATGTGTGCCTACAGCCTTAGGCAGGTGTTCTTGTACAAACAAGAAGGTACTGTTCAGACTCACTGAAAGAATGGTGTTTCTCAGTCATATTTTGTGTAAGTAAAAACAAAAAAATACTTATGAATTCTCTGATGATTGCACAATTTACCTCAGTAGTTTTTTTTTCCCAGTTTATTTTACCTAGAGTTAAGAATGTTACAGTCAGGCTACGCATATGCCAAGATAAGAGAGATCTGCCAGATCTGTCTTAATTCTACTTTCTTGCAAAAATAACTCCACCTTTGACAACAACAAAAAATGCTGTGAGGCAAGATTCTGAGTCTGTGCTTGTTTGTTTTTGCAGGGGCCACGGAGGTTCAAGCAGAAGAGCAGCAACACCACGAGGGACAACCGCAGCCACACACAGCAAACTTCCCAAAACTGCTCTGACGAGGGACTTGCAAGCTCCAAGGGCCAGGGGGGCAGCAGCAAACTCTGGATACAGGCCCCCACTGTTAGCAGCCACACATGAATCATATGATGACTATGTAAGTCCAATCCTCTTTACTCAAATGCAGAAAGTCTCTCTGGTGGAAATTTGACTCAATCAGAAATGCTCTGATCCACTTCGATGTGCTCTGGATGAGTGTGGCTTTTTATGAATGCTCATCCTACGACGTGAGTTTGCAAAAAATAAAGCAATAAGAAATTATCCCTTATTTTAGTTAACATATTTTACTGTGTAAATTGTACACTCCAAAATTATCATGGATAATCCAAAAGATTTTTTATTTGCAGCAATAAAAGTCTGATGTTCCGCAGATGCCAAGTCAGACATTGACGTATGAATGCACGGTTTTTGCAAACTAATTGTGAGAGCTGGCCTTTCTGCACATTCACAACTGTCAACTAAAATGCGATTCAGCGCTGTAAAACTGAAAGTACTGAACTAAGCTGAAGTTTACTCCATAAGCCACAAGTTTTGCTTCATAGTACCAATCTTTGATCATGTTCACTAACTTATGGCATTCTGCATGGGATAAATAAGATAAAAACTATTCATTGCCATTATTTTACAAAGCTAACAATAATCTATAATTGTATTTATGAGTGTATCTCAAAGGTTTCATACAAAAGACATAGGTGATAAGACAATAAATGATCCAATCTCTTTCAAAGTGAGGGAGCCTGATTTAGAGAACATGATTGAAGTTTTAACATTCTGCAATCAACTTTAAACCAATTTATTTAGAAAGCACCTTAAAAACGACCATTTTAGTTTAAGTGCTGCACAGCAAACAAAGCAAAACATTGCAAGAGCAAAAAATAGAAGAAATAGTTAAAAATTAATGCACAAAAAATCACACTAAGAGTCTTTGTTTTCATACATTTAGTTATTTGTGGTTCTCCTTATTGGAGCACAGTTTAAATCTTTTTGTTTTATTTGAGCTGTAACTAAACTTAAAACAGAGAAACAATGCCAAAAGAAAGAATTCTCTACAATAAACCACGCACACATTTTTTTTCTTGTAACACATTGGATACTATCAGAATCCTGCAAAACTAGTAACATTGCTTTTGCTTTGCATGCAAACAAGAAGAAGATTCAAACTCATTTATCAGAAATAAGCAATAACACCAGAATGATGAAAATGTGCAGAAGCATAAGGCACTGGTGTGTTAGTGCAATACAAAAAGTACAATAAATAGTATTTCCAACAGACAGCTATAGCAATGTTGCAGAACTGAGGCAGAAGAACACATCAATCAATACAAACAAACAGCATCAGCCAATAAAAAGAGATATTGGAAACATTGTACGATCAGGGACTAACAAGACACATCAATCCATTTTCTTTACTTGCTTCATCTCATTCAACAGCTGGAAGGCTCGTGCTTGTCAGCCGTCAATGAGAGAAGGACAGTGAACCACCTAAACAAGTCGCTGACACACCAAAAAAAAGTAATTTAGAGTTGCCAGTTAACCTTAACGTGGATGTTTTAGACAGAGGAAAGAAGCTGCTGCTGAAAAAAAATGCATCACACACAAAAAGACCCAACTGAAATCATTCTGGTTTTTAAATTCTAAACTTTTATATTAAAGGGGAGAATTTGCTTTGTGAAGTTGACTTTTTCAAAAACAGTATATTATGTTATTACTTTGCTAAAAACACTGCTTTGATTATTTTATGCAATAGGGTGCATTTACACATGTGCTGTTCAAAATGATTGTTAAATAACAGTCCCTTATCAATTAAAAGAAATTAAAAACATTTTTACAGTAAAACAAAAAAAAAGTAAAAATCCCAGTTGAACATTTTTATCCCAATAAATAAGAAATATTTAAAATTTTAATACCACACAATATGCTTAAAAGACCTGAAAGAAATTCATGTGCAACATCACCTACTGTTCCTCACTGTTTCAATCAAAGTAACATGTTTCTCAGTATGTTAATGTACATGGGCAGAAGTGAGTCATCACATACATTGGAAAAATTATTTCAAATGAGAGCAAAGAAAAAGCTATTTATGACTGAACACAAAAGAGCAGATTCTGACTAACTCAAGAAAATAATGAAGGTATTGCTATGAACTTCAGATACACCAGTGCGCCTTTAAGAGCCACAGCTTTAGATAGCATCTGTAACTTGACTGACAAACACCTTTTCCAAAGACATGAATTTTGTATTTGCATTTACTTTATCTGAGCTATTTCCCAGTGCCTAATAGAAGGGAGGGAAACTATGTTGGTCTCCAGAGTGGAAAACTAAATATTCACAAATAGGATACTTTTTTTTTTTCCGCAAATGAAATTTACAAAACAGCAGTATTGTTCTTTAGGAATTAAATAAGCATATTGGTTAGAATAATAAATCACATACATTGTGAAAAGTGCCACTGAAGGTCTCCCAAAGGTAAAAGTGTGTGCAAGAAGACACAAATCCATGAAGCCCTCGGCGGTAAATAATTGCATCACTAAAATGCAAAAAGAAAGAAACTCTAGATAAAGGGCCTCTTGGTGCCTTGATTAGCTTTCTGCAAAATCTCTCACATTACTTGAAATAGTTCTGGGTTTCCATGTTGAAAAATTATGCAAGGCCAAAGCTGAAAACAAGCTTGTCCTGAGATCTGAGGGATCTTTCAAGGTCATTTTACAAAGAGAACACCAGAAGTAAGCTCCAAGTTTCATCCAGATGAAAAAAGGCAACACTTTTACCAGTCTATTTCCTCAGCGCTTTCCTGCAAAGAGAGAGAGAAAAAAAAAGAAAGAACCCATGTGTGCAGGCAGTTGAAGATTGGGCTGTCTGCATGGGGAAATGCACAAGCGTAGACTCATTACCAAACCAAATTGAGTCCTGATGCAGAGCCTGTGTATTTCTGAGGAGCGAAAAAGCGAAGCATTTCTTCTCTTTGTAATTGGAGGTTGGGAAGGAGGCTGGAAGCAGGGAAACGAGGGGATTAAAGAAATATGAGTTTGTCCTGAACACTCCCTTCTCTCATATCTCATTTTGCTTTTTTTTTTTTTTCTTTGTGACATAAAATAATTACATTTGAGCATGCTTGAAGATTGTAACAGGACCTTTTTTTTAACAAAGATTTGATTTAGCTTAATTTTCTATTCACTAAAGTTATTGAATCCTGCAATGCGCAACTTTAGCATGGTTTCCCTTTTCATCCAGTATTTTCTTTTAGGAAAATATTATGTGCATGAGCATTATGTATTATCTCTAGAGGATATTCACTGGTGGATTTTTGTCAAACTGTCAGTCTGCCTTATAAAGGTGATACTCAGGAAAAGTCTGAAACTGTTCCAAATTGAGTGCTTTATTGATTTAAAACTGTGAAGGAAATTTTTAGGAAGCTGGCAGTTATCATGTATCAGTGTTTGCTCTGGAGTTTGTGAACTTAGTGTTTTTCTTTTAATATCCTGCCGCAAATCCGACTTTACTGGATCCTTTACACCAATACTTTGTTCCTCCTGGAGTGCAGCTCTTTGTGTGAAATGATTCTTGTAGTTTCTTTTTTCCCTTCGACTAATCCCCGGGAGACTATAAAACCAGCTGAGAATTGATCCCACTAAGCACCGTCTGTGTAGTCAGAAATTAATATAGCTTATTCTTCTGAGTCACCATTCATTTCCAGTGTTGTGGAAACCACACATTGTTCGCGTTTACTTTAAGACAACACATTTTATGATTACAATGTGCTATTGCTTTCTGCTGTATTTTTAGTAAACTTCATATAGTCTACTCTGCTGTTGTTTTCAATGAGGCAATACTTTTCATTAATAGATACCGGTATTCAAAGAAACACAACACTTTAGAGTTCAGTTTCTCTCAAAGTAAAAAATATGCATTTGACATGATATTTATGCACACTCTTCCTGTGCTGCTTCTCTGATTGCCTGCATCTAATTCAACATTTCATGATTTCTTTTGTACGAATCCATCTTTAAAACTCAAGGCTGCATAAGTTTCTATTGCAAATGCACATCTGATTTATCTTACATAATTATAGACCTGTTATGGCCTTGTTTTGCAGTGGTAGAATTTGAAAATTGTGTGGTTCTCTTAAAAGCTCCAGTACTTAACTCTCTTCATGACTTCATTTAGTATAAATCCAGATGAGCTTCTCCCTGTGGCTTAAGCTAATGGCTAGCCTAAAAGCAAACTTCTACCATTTTAGAACAACAAGAAAGGTAGGACATAGTGCAGTACCACTTTTCTTCTAGAGTTTAATGTGTCCTTTTGTGGCGTAGACTAGTTTGTTTCACATTCATAAGAAGCTAACAGGGATAAATATATATATGTGGATTCTTTATCTTGCTGTTGTACTTACTGACTGTATGACAGATTTATGTTTCCATAATATTTGTAGCCTTTTTCCATACCTTCATGTGACAGGGAGACTCTGGAGACTGAGGTGATAAATGGACTCTCTCATGCTGTCATTGAAGTTAAAGCCAATGCAGTGACAGTAAATGTTATTCTACATTTTAAAGGACTGCAACTCTTCTGAAGTGAGTTGTCTTTATTCAAGGGTCAGAACAGATCATTATAATTTGGCATCACATCTCTGCCCTAACACATTAATAATAACAATAATAATAATAATAATAATAATAATAATAATCAGCAACTTTAAAAACTCAAGGTCGCCTTACATTATGAACAACACATAACGGCAGCATCATTATTGAAAGACACAATCAAGATATTAAACAAAACAGAAAACCATAAATCTACGGCAGAAGCAATACATAACATTATGCAGGATTAATAGTTAGGATAATAATAAATGTAGCATCCAACCCAAGTAACTAGACAGTTATCCTCACTCAAAGCGAGGCGGTACTCTGAGTGGGACCCTGGGAACATTAGCATTTCACTAATAAACAATTATGGACAAACTGGGGAAACGCTTCCTTATCAGCTTTAACCTTTTATACTGATTTATAATTTTTAAATATGATGGTGTCTCCAATAAGCAAAAAAAAAAGAGCTATTTTATCTTAAACTCAATAAGAATGAAAACTTTTAGCTTTC